GTTAAAGTGGACTACGAATAATTATTCGATTATTTCCTTAAAACATATCTGTCTTATTGGGTTCGAATAAACAAAATATTCTCCGATTTTCTGCTCCATAAAATGTACAAAATATCAAAGCATTCAAAGCAGACCTAGCTTGCACCCAAAACTTGCAACAATTTTGGCAACAATTTTAATTTGTAACTCTTTCGTTTGCATCCGCCGTTTGGTGCCACTGTGCCCTGCCGCACATCCCACTTGCGCACACACAGAGAGAAAAAGCTTATGTAGATTTTAGCTTAATTCGATTTGGTTTTGCTGCCTTTTTGTTTTCGCTTTGAAGTAAAAAAAAAAAAAAATAAATAAATTGGACTTATGCAGCAGCAACTACAACATCATCAGGAGGAGCAGCAGCAATGGAGCGGCAGCAGCAGCAGCAGCAGCAGCAACGACAGCAAGTTGGCCAATTTGTGGCAAGTTTACGTTGCCGGTGCCGCACTGCTCCACTCTCAACTCCATTCCCGCTCTTAGAGAGAGAGATAAGTCGGGTCAGCAACAATACAAACACCAACAACAACAACAAGCTGAAGCCAAAATGCTCTGCGGTTTAACATGGCCAATTTGACTACGATTTTGGGTTTTTGCGGGTATTGGGATTGAGATTTTCCGAAGGACAAACAACACAAAGAACTGGGAGGGACACTTGGCCGGGTTGGGTTGCCTGCTCGGCTGCTTGTCTGCATCCTATCCTCCCTCCGTTTGCCCAGATAATACCCGGGTATAATTTAGCTTACTAAATGGCCTTCTAAGTGCGATAAAAGGACTTTTTATTAAAATTTCAAATGCCCCGAATAGAGGAGGAGGAGGAGGACGACGAGAACCAAAACCTACCCGGAGGGGTATGGGGCATGGGGGCATGTAGAGCGTGGGATTGCCAATTGACTTTTATTAAGAGTCCCAGGGCCCGTCCGTCCCGGTGGCATCCTGGTCTGCTCTGTCCACGGTCGCATTGCCGGGCTATTTATTATGTCAAAGTTTGCTAACGAAATGGTTTTTAGTTTCCAACACGATTGCCTGTGTGTGTGTGTGTGTGTGTGTGTGCCGATTTTGTGGCGATTGCTTGTGCCTGGATTAAAACTAGACTCCTTCCTGACCAGTAATTAATCCATCCCTAAACGAAACGAAACGAAAGGAAACTGGAGACTGCAAATTTCAGCTCTGATTGGTACGCGCTTTTTCGCTCAGTGTAACGCTGCTGCATTGGGTTTACCGTCAGGGCGTGCTCCGGCAAAAAAAAATATAACCAAATTTAATAATAGTAGCGTGAAAAAGCGTTCACCTCTTGCACGAGTACGCGAGGGTGGGGCAGGCGGTGGCGGCGGAGGAGGGCAGACCCAGAGCACAAAAAAACGAAACTAAATTCTGAATAATGATGGTCGGCCAGGCTGAACTGAACTGCAACTGGAACTGGAGCTCGAATCCAGCGACACACAGCCTGAAACAGCGACAGAAGCGGATGGTGGGGAAGGTTGCCCCTTCCAGTTCTCTCTACGCTTTCTGATTACGCATAATCGTGGGAGTGAGAATGCTAAAATGGAAATGGAAATGGAAATGGCAATGATAATGGGCGAGGGCAAGACAGAGACACAGAGACACAGAGAGAGAGAGGCAGAGAAATTTCGCCAACGCAACGCCAAATGAATGCAAATCGTAATTTGCGGCTTAATTTTTGATGGCTTTTTAATAAATGGAACAGAGCGGAAAGAGCCCCAGTGAGAGAGAGAAGGGTGTGAGCGAGGTGGGGAAGGGAAGGGAATACCCATAGCAGTGTGTGGGGGGGACATCACTCAAATTTGTCAGCTAATCCAATTGTGGATTGACTTCAGGACTGGCTGGGAACTCCTTGACTGTTCTGCTCAAGCGGAAGCTGCCCAATAAGGAAAGCCCTCAGCCCCCCGTGTCCTGTGTGTCCCTGCCTGTCTGCCTGTGTGTGTGTGTGTGTGTCTATGAATCATGCGCATCTTTGACATTTATAGCCTCAATTTATTTGATAAATTTCACACGCACGTTATCAATTGGCAGCCGCCCATCCACAGCATCCACAGCATCCACAGCACCCAGAGCAAAACACCAACCCTGGATGCTGTATCCTGGATCCTGCATCTTTGGTGGTAATAAATTTTGACGGATTAGTTCGCTTATGAGTGGCATTGGCCCAAGGACTCGACAGGAAGACGAGCGAGCAGGGGGAGGAGCAGGCGAAACTATTTGGGATGCGATAAACTGTAATAATGGATATTATTATTTATTTTTATATTCCCTTCTCACACCGCGGGGGTGTGCCAGTGCCTGTCCCTATGTGTGTGGCGTATCAATTTTCATAAAATATCGATGCCTGGTTATTGATAACCGTGGCGAAAGTCATTTTATTGCCCGTTGCCCGTTGCCCCACCGGCTCCGGCTTCAGCCTCTCCAAAATGCGATGCCCGGGATTGATAAATGTCACCATATCAGGCCCACTCAGGCGCGTGCATTTGTCAATTTCGGAGTACGAAGCTTTGGGGGGAAAGCTCCCAGAGAGAAGTCATCTGGAGAGACAATTGTGGAACGGATTGACAGGCATTCAATTGCAGCAGTAGAACTCTCAGCCCAGATATTTCTTACATTTCCATTGCTCACAATTTATCCCTTTATTCCTTGTTCCTTATTCACTATTTCCTGTTTCCTAGTTCCTATTTCCCTCCCCCCACCTTAACCTGCTGCTGTCTGCTCCATTTAACAAACTCATGTTAATTGTTCTATTCCACACAAAATTGATTCATTAATAAGCCACTTACTCGAGCCATGCCCAGAGCTGACTTTTGGCTCCCGAGCTGCCTGATTGACAATTATTTTTTTTGGGGCGTGGCTGGTGGTGGTGGCTCCGTTTTATTGGGGTTCGCGGCTGCCTACATAATTTAAAGCTAATTAGTTTTCCTGCCGGCGCAGCTCATTCGAAATACATCAATCAAGACCTGCCGGGGTGTGGTGGGGGGTGGGGGGCTAATTGCATTTACCTGATGACGGTTTTCAGTTTGTATCCCCGCTCCGCCACGCAGCTCCCCCCAGACAATGTCAATTGCTGACAAATTATTGGGGATCTCATGTGGAACACACTGTGCGGCTTGGCTTTAGGTGTGGCTTGGTCTTGCCCCCCAAAAAACGGAGGTGAAAGAAGTGCCTGATTTGGTATTATAATTAGGGGTCTTTTTGTTGGTTGCTTTAATAATTCTGATTGGTTGGTAGGGCAACAAAACACCCCCCCATCACCATCCCCTTCATTTACTGAAAACAATTGTGAAATTTGATGGCTCTAAATCAGCGCTAATGGGCAGCACTGAATACGAGAATGAGTGGCAGCACTGGTCAGGTAACTTCGCTGCCATTTCTTTGATTATTTCCTGTGGAAATCTCTGCTTATAGATTTCAAAAGCCGTCTGCATGGGCAATTCTGCAACTCTTCTCTTGATAGCTCCACTACGTACTGCAATTTGTATGCAAGTCCAATTGAAGTTGTTCACACCTAAGTGCCAGGCCCAGCCAAGTGCCAGCCAGCCAGCCAGCCATGTGCCTGGTATCTCCTATCCAATTATGAATCTCGATTGCCTGCCTCCCCATTGACCCACAAAGAAAATGGAAACAAACGTTCGCCCCACCCCCCCGGGGAAGGCTAACCAAGCGGGACGACACAGCAAGATGCGGGTCCAAGATACAGTCGCTGCGTACCTGTTCCCCTCCGATGTCCCTCGATACGAGAATTGTGGGACACGTCGCTATCGCCCAAAGAATCGAATGCCTAATCCTCGAAATTAATTATGTTCGCTGGTGCACACCTCGAGTCGCACACGAGTCGCCTTTCATTCAGAGATTTTTCCAACGAAAATTAACCAAAAAGAGGAGAAAAGGAAATTTTGTGTGTGTGGCTTCAAGGCACTCTCCATAGTGCCATTACAGATACAAATCTCTGGCCTGTGGCAATAGGAACTCGGCCAGAAGGGGCTCCCATATCGCTTATGCCGCTGCACGTTCCAGGGCGAGACCCGCTGGAGCATCAAGATCTTTGCACGAGTGAAGGCGGAGGGCACTTGAAGCTGCCTGCCTGCCTGCCTGCCTGCCTGCCTGCTGCCTGCCTGCTTGCTGCCAAGGTGTGTGTGTGTGTGGAGTACTCCTCCAGTGGGTTGTTCTGCAGCTCAGCCATCATCAACATCGTCATCGTCAGAGCAGGGAACATGTAAATTTTTGAAATATAATTGGCCTAATATTTCAGCCAGTCTCTGTGTCTCTCCGTCTGTCTGCCCTCTAATGCTTGCTCCCAGACACGTACTGTGAGGCTTAGCCAGCAGCTCGAACTGCCGCTCGTCGTTGGCTTATGATTTTTATCAGCTTTTGGCTACCTCTACCTCCGCCACCCCCCCCCAACACCACTCTACACTCTACACTCTAGTCTATGTTTGGCCAACGCACCCAATTTTTCCACGGAATAGGAATATGGGTGTAGCCACACGCCGCACTGGCCGCTCGCGGTCGATTGCCTAATGTGGAACCCTCCCACCACAACCCCCCACCCCGGGACGCACGGACCCAACAGCAAACAGTGCCAGTGTGGCAGACACAGACACAAGACACAATCCGTGCACCATGCCAGACCATGCCATGCCATTTGTTTGCTGAACCTTTGATATTTTCCAGCAGCAACAGCCAGCAGCCAGCAGCCAGCAGCCAGCTCCCGCTCTAGCTCCCAGAGCTTTGTCGTTCGATGTTCGGTGGCGGCCCAATCGCATCCATGAACCTTGGCATTTGCATTGTCGATATCTATCTGAGGCAGGTGCTGGTGCTGGTGCTGCTGCTGCTGCTGCTGGGGTACACCACCAGAGGAGAGCGTGTGTGTTGGGCAAGCGCATACGGAATGAGGCTGCTGCTGCCAGTGGAACATTTGCAATATTCCGACTGGCTAAGCCTAACTAACCCTGGGAAATACTTCAAAACATACAAGTACTCCATTCAGTAATTGTATTCCCAACGAAAACCATGTCCAAGCCTCACAACTATACAAAAGCAAGGCCCAGCCGTCGCCTCCTCCCGTCCAGCACTGGCAGCGAAACGGAGCGCAGTCTGGAGGATTTGATTAGTGTCACCAAGCTGCGGATCAGTGGCACGGACACCGATGACTGCAGCCACTGCGCGATGGACAAGACACTTGGATCCCCACAGCAGTCTGTTCGTGCGGTGGAGGTGGAAGTTCCGCGCCATCCGCCGTTTGTGGCGCTGGTCGGCAATCTGCCCATGGAGACCAGCGAGCGGGAGCTGCGTCAGCTCTTTGCCCAGCACACAATTCGCTCGCTCAGCCTGCTGCGGCGGGGCAAGCGCCAGCGGGGTGGTGGGGCCCATGTGGAGCTGGAGACGCGCCAGGATCTGTTGGAGCTGCTCAAGAAGGATCAAATGATGTGTCGCGGACGTCGCCTGAGCATCGCTGTGTGCCAGGATCTGGGCGGTGGCGAGGACCGCTGGAGCATGCACTCGGATGGGCGCTGGAGTCGCCGTTCGGCCAGTGGCGACGATGGCGACGATGGCGCCTGGAGCCGCCATTCCGGCAGTGATGCCGACGAGAGCTCCTCGGAGTGTTCGGCTCGTGTCCGCCTCAGTCAAAGTCTGGGCGAGGCCTCGTCGGGTTCATCGGTGCACATCAGCCGCAGTCCCAGCAGCACCGAGGAACTGGAGCGTCGCATGCACGTTCGCCTCCAAAAGTTGGCCGATTTCGAGAATGCCGAGACGGAGCGGGCCCAGAGCTCACAGGCGGATGAGGGCGAGCCTCCAGCGCCCGTGTCCTGGCTCGATTTCTGGTCCGAGGTGCAAAAGAGCGAGGATCTATAAGCGCACACACTCATCCACATCTCGCACACTTCCACTGCCAGAAGTACACGTAACAGCGGGTCAGCCAGGGGGCAGAGTTCACTGAGTTCAATGCACTTGAGTTTTCACACACAAATGGTCACGGGCAGCAAATCAAAGAGGGATTTTCAGATCGTATATTCAACAAATAAATAAATATTTTAATCGGCGTCATGGCATTTAATTTACCTCATCTTTGATCTCTAGTTTTTGGTTCATTTTCCGACAAGTAAAAGGATGGACAATGAAAATATTAGCAGCCCTGAAAGTTTCCTTCCTTCCACAAAAAAAGTGTTGTAATTTTGCGACATTTATTTAATAGTTTATGTTCGATTAAAACAAATAAAGAAGGCAGTGAGACAACGATCCCTTGGATCTGCCTCTGGGGAAATGCTGAGAATGCATGGAGAGGCAGACCTTTACCTTCGTGCTAGACAGATCAGGAATGAAAGAAATATGCTCGTTGGGGCAAGCAGAGGGGCAACTAATGACCAGTCAAAGCTCTCTACCGCTGGCCCATACCCACCACCCAGTAGGCACCACCGCACCTGGCAACAGCTGCCGCTTTTCGACTGTCCAAAAACCAACAAAATACAACAAAATAATTTATCAACAATATTGACTAAAAGCTGTCAACTGAATTAATTTAAACTGATTTATTAATGTGGCGACAGTTGGGCCAATCGAACCCGCTGACGTTGGCTGTTGGCCTGTTGGCATTAAGCTGGGTGGCTGGCGGCTGGGGCTGGGGGGGCACACAAAAACAAAGAGCCAAAAACAATACGGTAAGCATACGCTAATTGACCAACTAATTAGCGCATTTAATGGCTTGAGTGTATACGAAAATACGGTCAACGAAACAAGAAAGACAGACAGACCAGGCCAGACCAGACTTGCTAATGAAATTAACGTAGCGTGGTTAATAGTTTTGCCAAATTTGGAAAATTATTTTCATCAAATCGTTGAGGTTTCCAGTTTTCAGTCCCACCACCCCTCCTCCACGCTATGGCTTAATTTTATTTATTTATATTTCTTTGTTAATTCCTTTTCTTTTTGGGTTTAATGAGCACGATCTTGGCCAGCGGAAAATAACTCATACGCCCAGACACTCTGGCGTATGATTCTGTGAATCAATTTGTGATGGAAAATTCGTAGCTTCGCTGCTTGGGGATATTTCATAATTAATTTGGGAAATGTTTTTCCATTAGTTTGGCTTTGAATTCATAGGAAAAGTACCCCCATTTAGAGCATAGATTGTAAGCCGTTTCTGCGGGTTTTATATATTTCGAAATAAAGGTATTTCATGGCCATATCCGCCAGCAACTTCCACTTTACAGATTGGGTAATTAATTGCAATTTTTAAAACTTATATTCAATCTTTGGTAATGCTGTATGTGCCGGGGCTGAAACATATTCGAATCCCCGCGCCGTGACATTTTTTGTTGCCTCAATTTATCGACTAATTGCTTGGGGCCGCTTCAATTAGACTCCTCCTCGTCCTTTAACAATTTGGCTGGTTGCACATAAAATGTCTGTCGACGGCTGTTCCTCTCTTCTCTTCTCTTCCCTTCTCTTCCCGCCTGTCTCTTCTCATTAACTCAACGGTGCGGACAGCGACACAGGCCCTCTAGAATTTGGTCAGAGAGAGTCGCCGTGGGGGTTTTTGGGGCGGCTCTGCGCAACTACCACTGCATAGCAGTGGCATCCATCGCCATCCAAGACCAGGACCAGGACCAATGCACGTTCGGAATGCGGAATATTCTGGGGCTAGAGTCAGAGCCGGAGCCGGAGCCAGAGCCAGAGCCCGTTGCCAATTTCCGGCAAATGGGCATTGGGCAGCGGTAAAGGCCGTTGGGCGTAAATTAAAATTAAATTCAAATGGAAAAGTGTCGTTGCTGCCGCGACCCGACCCCAGATCCCAGATCCCAGACTCCGACACGACTGGGCTGGGCTGGGCTGGGCTGGGCTGGGCTAGGGTCGTATAATAGACCGTTGGCCATTGGCACGTCTGTCGGCTTATGCAACATTTTAGCAATTATATTCGCGTTGAGCGACATTACAACGGCAATTACACGCAGGAGCCACAGTTGGGGGATGGGTTGGGTTGGCCATTCGATGCCTGGCATGGCTGTCATCGTCACGTGGAGCAGCAACGTGATCCACTGACGCATACCACTGACGGACGGAACGGACACCAATGCCCGCCCGCCTGTCACTGGCAGAAGACGGCCTCGGGGCCGGCACTGACTGACACTGGCTGGTCAACTGACTTCGCTGACAGGACATAAAGTGCAGGATAAAATAACCACACAAGTATAATGGGTGAACAATTTCACGTATGCGACTGGCGAAATGTTCTTTCTGCGCTGCTTGAAACATAATTTAGCTATTTATAGTTTATAAATATTTTAAAATTAATTCATAAATGGGATAACCTGTGAATTGTTTCTCTTTTTTAGAATTAATAATTAAATTAAATGTGAACATTTTTTTAAATATGAAATATTTTAAATTCAATTATTTAAATATTTAAATAAATATATATAAAAATAAAAAAATAAAAAAAAAATAAAAATAAATAATCAAATAGTAAATGAAAACTATTTTTTCAGTTTCCACTCTTAGAGCAAATCTATTGGAACTAATTTTGAAATATACATTGGTGTAAATATTCTTACCTCAAAGCTTTTTCTTTTGCCAGCATTATTTTTGTATTTCAACCGAGGAACAATCGCCTTAAGAATTCAATGGATTCCTTTCGCTTTGCAGGGTATACGCGCACTGAAAGAGAGAAAACAGAAATATGAAATTTGTCTGGTGGGGCCTTCTGGTTTGGGTAAATGAAATGAAATAAATGTATGAAATGAAAGCAATAACCGACCGACATTACATAAAAATCTACTTGGCCCGGCTCTCATAATTTGTGTGTGTGCGACGTGGGCCTATTTAGGTAGTGCCAGCAGTATGTGTGTGTGTGTGTGTGTGTGTGTGTAGTATATGGCCGACACTTCCGTTCGACATGTTGCACATGTTGCTCCCGTTTCCGGCGCTCAGCCCAACTCACCTCGTCTAACCCACCACACTACCCACATCCTGCACGGTTCCTGTGGCTGGCCAACCAACTCCCATAAAATACAATATAGTACCCGATTCCCCGTTTGATATGCCCTTCCAAGGGGTATTTACGCATGTCACCAGCACATGCAGCACATATGGAAATATTTTAGATAGGAATAAAAATTTATTCTTGACTGCACTTTGCATAAATAAACCCATAGGAACAATCACTCGAAAAATTAACTCTTAATGAGAACATGAAAAAAAATTTGTTCTCTCAAAGATATTCCTTAGTTTCATGAATCAATATCGTCGTTGACTATTATATCGAAAAGGCTATCGATCTTCAAGGGCATCCAAAGCTTCGTCACCAAGGAGAGAGAGAGAACCTTGGTCCTATCCTTTCTGTTTCTGGATGATGTTTGGGAATGTTGGGGGAATGTTGTTTCTGGTCACGCATTGTGTTCCTGTCGCTTGCTGTTTTTATTGCCCAGGCTTCCTGCCGTTCGCTTGTTTCATAATTAATATCCTTTCACACATTATTATAACGGAAATGAGTGGGTCGCTGTGCGGTTGGGGGGTAGGATATTTTTATTTTATTTATAGACATACATACATATGGACTACATATATTCTTTCATTCTTGTGTGTCCTTTGCCATGGGCCATTGTGTGCTGTGTGAGGGTGGTGGGGGCCTGGGCCTGGGCCTGGACCTGGACCTGGTAAAGCTTGTTAAGCATTTTATGCGTTTGGTTTTTCATAAATTTCAGCCACAACACACACACACACCCATACACACAGGGAGGGAGGGAGTGTGTAATTAAAAGCTCATGAAAAGTGATTAAAAAGTGAGTTGCGGCCACGCTCTGGGCCATATATTAAATGTTTTTTTTTGCCTGCCCCATAAAGTTGTCAAAACAATGCCAACAACAAAAATGGAAACAAAATGGAAAATAAGGCAAAGCAAAAATAAAAAAATAAAAAAAAGAGCACATATTAAAATTTCCAGCCAGCTGATGCTCATGCTGCTGCAGGCCTTTAAGCTGCTTTTACCACGAACTGGGGAGTGGACTTAAAACCCAAAAACCCAATACCAAATTGACAGTGAAAATCTCAGTATTCAAAGCTAGCCAATCAAGGAAAAAAACACACTGGCCATCGTCTTGTATGTGAAAACTAGTTGCCACGATGATTCTCGTCTCTCTTTCCATTTTTTTTTTGTACCCAATTAGCAGGACAAGAAAAGCATTTTAACACGAATTTTGTTTTAACAAATCACTGCCCAAATCGAACCACTGATTGGAAACTAATGAATTGGACTCTTGTCGGCGCTGTGGCCAGGGGATTATACTCGCATTAGATATTCGATGGGATGGCAATGACATGAATAAAGAAAACTCTTTCACTTACTGCATGCATAATAAATTTAAGCGTTGCAGAATGGTCTTAAAAGGGATTAATTTTTGCCTTGTCCATTGCTACATAGTACATCCTTAAGCGATGGATCTGGCCCCTTCCCTCTCTCCCTCCCATTCCCCATTCGAAGTACAAGTTAAAGTCGTTACATTATTAAAATCCTCTTACCCTGAATTTAGTAGTTTCAGTTGTATGTACAATATCGATGGTCAAAGTCCTTTAAAATATATTCTGCCACATTTGAATCGATCTGCGTGTCTTCCCGCTCCCCGTTTGGTTCGTCGTAGTCGCAACATTTCCTGGCATGACCTGGCATGGTCCTTCGTAGACCTAGACCTAACCCCCTGCGCCCCCAGGCTGATTCATATCCATGACGCACTTTGGCCACTCAAAAACGAAGAAGGCGGAGCAGAGGCCAGGCCTCTGGTGGTCGGCATTTAAGGATTAGCATTTAAGGACGAATTTATGGTATGCATAAAGATATTTAAAGTGTCCCCTGGTTCTGACAGGCAGGACAACTGGCGGTAGGCAGGAGGCAGGAGGCAGTCAGGCAGGTCTGGCGATAACCGGCTTACACGCATGTCCCCGCCAAGGATGACGCATGACTTAATGCCCGCGTAGGGGCCAAGGAGTGGAGTGGCGTGGCGTTGGAGTCCTCGGCCGTTCTCGGCAGTCCTCTGAATCCGGACTCCGGACTCCGGACATGGGAGCCCTGTGACAGAAATATCGCACATGCAGGCGCGCGCACTCCACGCACGAGTGGCGCTCCCGCGCGTCATTTCCATGCGATTCGCGTGTTGCGTGCAATTTGCGTGTAATTCTCGGACGGGCGGATGGGGCAGGGAGCAGGAGCAGGCAGCAGGGACTGGGGCGGACACGGCCGGAGTTGCAGCACAACTACATTTACATTTACTGTGTGTACGGTGCGGTGCGGGCCTGTACCTCCTCCGAAGCGAAGCGTCCTCTTTGCCTGCGTGTGTGTGTGTGTCTGTGTCATCGCTACACGCGGCACATAAATCATAAGCAACAAAGCAAACTGCGTCGCAGCGTCGAGCAAACAGAAGGAAGTCGGGCAAAAAAAAAAAGTGAATACGAATACTGAGTGGAGCAGGGCCGACTCGACCATGCACCTACCCTATACTCTACTTTTCCAAGTGTGTATCGAAGCAAGTCGGTAATAGAGGGTGAAATGAACTTCCAGGTTTATTTTACATTTAAAATTAAATATATTATTATTTATAAATTCAAATTATTAAATATATTTCACTTTTAAATTAAATATATTTCATAATTTAAATAAAATATATTTCATATTTAGATTAATTATATTTAATATTTAATCATTATATTAAATATTTATTTTAAAGTATTTTTTATTTAAATGAAATATAGGGCGGGATTTAAGAAAATCGTTTTAAAACATTTATGCTTTTATTTAATTTCATAATGTTTATATTTAAAACACGAATATTTCATTTATACGTGGTTGAGTTTCTATTCCATTTTTTTCTGCGTATTTTTAATCAGGCATTTAGATGATCCAGAATAAATATAAATATTTAGTTTGCATCCCCATTTTGAATATACCCTTGTACTCGACTGGGTACTGGGTACTGGGTATAGGAAAACAAGGGACGCCCAAAGTGAAATGCGTAATTTATGCTGCGCAGGACGCGCAAGGAAGCAGGGAAGCAAAGAAGCAGGGAAGCAGGAAGCGAACACGGACGCACCGTAGCCACCCAAGGACTGTACCGCTTGTAGGTCTTGCAGTTTTCCCACCCCGTGCCATCCACTTTTCCTTTTCGCTTTTCCATCACCAAACTTCCAACTCCCAACTCCATTTCCAAAAGGAAACTTCTGGCTGCGACGCAATAAGAAAAACTGCGTTTTGTCTTTGTTGCGCGCGGCGGCGGCGTCTTCAACCCCCTTTTGGCAACCCTCTTCAGGCGGTGTGTCCTTGCCACGCCAACAGAGTCCTTGCCAGTACCCACAGCATACCCCTGTAATCTAGGTTTCAGATTCAATCAAATCAGACGGACGGGCAGAAGGGCGGCAGCAGGGCGAAACTTCAGCCCCAACTTCAGAGACGCCTGAGACGATACATATGTTGTGGCAGATCTCTATCGGGATGCTCCTGGGTGCAGAAACAACTCATAATGGAAATATATTAAATCTATTTACGCTTATTACCACAGGCTTTGAAGACCCCCCGCTACAACTCTTTTATCGGTACACCGATAGAAAAAAGCCCTGAAATTTTAATATTTTCAATTAGATTTTAATATTTATGCCATTGATTTTCATCCAAGAGTGGTTGTATTAAAATTGAATATTTTTCACTTAAATTTTGATATTAATATAGAAATATTTAAATTTAATATGTTTCATATTCAAATTTAATATGTTTCATATTTAATGTTAATTTGCTTCATATTTAAATTTAATATGTTTAATATTTAAATCTAATATGTTTCATATTTATATTTATATTCATTTTTAACTAATTGGTTATTATTTTGCGTACGCAAATTACATTTCAAGTCCTCATGGTGTGAATTGGTTAAAGTTTTCAACTAGAAATAATCGCAACATGAGTAGGAACTGCATTGGTTGTGATTTTGCCCCTGCGCTAAGATAATTTTACTGTGCATTCAAGGCAGCAGCAGCTGGAACTAGCTGGGAATTCGAGGGACATAAAAAAATAATATAAACATAGTTAAAATAAATACAAAAAATATTTGATTTCATTTAACATGGAATATTTAAAATAAAAAGTTTTTCCTTTGGATTTTAAAAAAAAAATTTTGAAATCAAGTCATAATAATATTCAATTTAAATATGAAACATACTAAACTCTAAATTTAATATATTATAGTTATTTTGAAGGGTTTTGTATTTAGATTAAATATGACCGTATTAAAAAAACATTTTTAATACATTTATATTTGAATGAAAGTGAATTCTATTAAATTTTACTATGTTTGTATTTAAAAATGGCATTTTAAATTCAAATATGATTGTAGTT